CTCAGGGGGCTGAGGTGGAAGGATTGCTTGAGCCCAGGAGGTCAAGGGTGCAGTGATGTGTCATCATGCCACTGCACTACAGATCGGGCAACAAAGCAAGACTTTGTCTCAAAAAAAAATTAAAAAATAAAAACAAACAAACAAAAACAAACAAACAAGAAAATTCCAAATAAACCATATGTTCAATTGTAGTTCAAAGTTCTCTGAAGAAAGACATCCGCTAGGTGTACAATTCTGTAATTCACATGATAAACCCTAGGCGTATTTGTTTCTGGGAGGAGATTCTAAAGTGTGGATTTACAGACTCTAGTAAGGGTCCCAGCTGCACTTACCTGGCATTTTCTGCACAAAGGTGTAAACATGAATTCGAGTTCCAGTGCTCCCTGCATCAAACATAATTCCATACAAGGTGCTGGCGCTGACATTGATGGGGCACATGGAAGACAGGAAGATACCCTCAAACCAAGTCTGCTGGTCCCTGTGGGAGACAGCACTGCAAACACAGGATACCGCCAGCATGAAAAAGACTGCGCCCCGAGAAGTGGCCATTCTTTTCCCAAGATGTGGCTGGGTGGAGGCTTTTGTTGCAGAAGTAATCCTGTTCACACACCTACAGAGGCTTATAGGACAAAGGCACACAAGTTAGACCAACCACCTTTTTTAGTTACACCTGTAAAAGAAGAAACACTCACTCCTGGGCCCAAGGTGTTCCTTCTCTGTTCTAATAACCTGTACAACAAGCTAAACCGGGTAATGTGGACTCTTAGCACCTTCTCCGAAGGATATCTGGTTCCAAAAGGAAATTGGAATTGAGGACATATTTTCCCACGTTTTGCTTTTTAAAAATTAATACAAAGTAATTGTACATATTTATGGTATACATGTGATATTCTGATATATGCAGACAATGTGTAAAGATCAAATCAGAGAATCTAGGATATCTATTACAACATTTATCGTTTTTTGTGTGGGAAACATTTCAAATCTTCTAGCTATTTGGAAATACACAATAAAATATTGTTATTTTATTAACTATTGTTAACTATAGTCACCGTACTGAACTATCAAACACTAGAACTTATTCCTTTTATCTAATTGTAAGTTTGTACCCATTAACCAACTTCTCTTCATCTCTCCACACCCCAACACCCTTCCCAGCCCCTCTGGTAACTGTCATTCTACTTTACTTCCATGAGCTCCCATATGTGAGTGAGAACATGCAGTATATATCTTTCTGAGCCTGGCATGTTTCACTTAACATAATGACCCATGCTTTGCTTTTTTTTTTTGGAGACAGAGTCTCACTCTGTCGCCCAAGCTGGAGTGCAGTGGTACAATCTCAGCTCACTGAAACCTCCGCCTCCCGGGTTCACGCGATTCTCCCGTGTCAGCCTCCTGAGTAGCTAGGATTACAGGGGCACACCACTATGCCCAGCTAATTTTTGTATTTTTACTAGAGACGGGGTTCCACCACGTTGGTCAGGCTGGTCTTGAACTTCTGACCTCATGATCCACC